ACTTAGCTTAATATTTCCCGCGAACATGGAGCCAGATATCAGTAGTGTGCTTTGGTCATATCGGTTTGTCGGTGCCCTAACTATAAGTAGAAAAATAAATCTAGAATGGTTATGAAAATGGTGTCTTTGGCAATATTAGACATGGGCTTACGATCGGGGAAGTGGTCTATCTTCCCACTTGTGAAATTTACCTGTCATAAAATTCGCCTTCCTGCGCGCTCACCTTTGCGAGAGACTCCATCTTCTCATTGCATGGGACTGAACAATGCGAGGGGACCCATACAAAGGTAAACATAAATGATCTTTCGACCAGCACACTTATCTGCCTCCTTACCTTTGAAAGGAAATAAGATGAGTGCCTACCTGTTTCATCGACCGAATAGTCTCAATCGAACTGAGACTATCCGAGAAGACGAAGTAATGGTCTGCGGGTATGTTGGAAAACACCCCCAATGCGAAGTTGATTGCTGCCAACTCAGCAACAAAAACGGAACAAGATCCCTGATGTTTTGGAAGGCGCTAGAGTTTTACTTGAAGACACCGAAGCCAGTGGATCCGTTGAGACGGGACCCGTCTGTAAAATATCTTTTCACGCAATTGACGTGTTGGTATTTTTCATACGCGGGATAATAACAGGTCGAAGTTGATCGGGAATCCCATGAGTTGCTTGTTTAATGGTTAGTTCATATTCAATCGAGGAACTGCGATTGTTAGCACGGTCTGGAGTATAATAAGGAAGACGATATGTAGTAGTGGTAGATTCTCATAAATCGAGATTGTGTGTTCAGCACAAGAATTTATTCAAAATATGCAATTATAAGTGTGTTCGTACGTTGAGTGCATACAGCCGAGAGCAATACGCAGACAACGATATTGAATTCGTTCCAATTTTATTAGGTGACTTTTTTTTTGCTGAGAGAAAGTAGAAAGAGCCGTACTCTAGAACAGAGAGAACTGTTGTTTTATAAAGCGTTATGAGTTCTCCCTGATGAGCACCCCACCATGTGTCGCAAATTGAACGGAGAAGTTGATCATCTGCTGACATTTTTGCTTCAAATACGTAATATGGGTATTCCAAGTGCACTTTGAATCAAACCGGACCCCAAGGTACTTGAAAGGCAATGATTGAGTAATGTTTCTGCCCAAAACATTAAGCTGCATTTGGGCTGGGTACCGCTTTAGAGTTCAGTTTTCTGTGGCGAGTATTCGGTCCCTAGATTACTAGCCCAAGAAGACAAGTTATCTAAAGAACTTTGCAATGGTCCTTGATTTCCAAGAATAATGCTGCTACCTTTATTGCTTCTGGACCACCACCATCACCACCGAGACGCATCGTGGATAGCACTGTGGAAGCCCCTGATTTCTCTGCCTCAGTCGCGCTTATTCCAGCCAGCGCTCTGCATAGTCGTCTCGGCCCTGAGTGTAGATGTAGGTCGGGGGTCTTCCAACCAGCTATTACTGACAAGTATATTGACGATTCAGCTTCTCCTTTGCCTGATACCGCTTCAACTTCTAGCTGTGTTTCCGGTTCTACGATCTCCACACTAGCCACATCATGTCCATGCATCCGTCCTGCCAACTACCAGCAGGTTTATGCCGCCACCTGCTCTTCCTCGGATCCGGGACACCCTAAAACAGGCACTGAGGAAGCTTCCGAACCTCCCGACCCAGTCGCGCTAGCTGCAGACATCCGCCATCGTCATCGTCCCGGTCCTGTGGTCGGTGATGGTATCGGGGGCTTCCGGCCTGCAACCTCAGGCGAGTATGTTAGTGATTCCGAGCTTTCGGTACCTGATGTCCTTTCGATTTCTAGTGCCCGTGATTGTTCCTCGAATGGTCTCCGGATCTACTACCAAAACGTGCGTGGGCTGAGGACTAAAATCGACTCGTTTTTCCTGGCTGTTGCGGAGGCCGAATATGATTTGATTGTGCTGACGGAAACGTGGCTGGACGACCGAATTTACTCATCGCAACTTTTCGGGTCACTCTATTCCGTCTTCAGAACTGACCGGTCTGCCCTAAACAGTCAAAAATCGCGCGGTGGCGGAGTCCTGATTGCAGTATCTACTAGACTAGCCAGCTACGTAAGTACGTCACCCATTTCCAGTCAACTGGAACAGCTGTGGATTGTCGTAGAACTTCCACAAAGCAAGCTTAGTGTAGGCGCAATCTACCTGCCTCCCGACCGCAAAAACGACTGCACGATCATCCGTGAGCATGTGGAATCGTTAGGGTCAATTTCGTCACAATTAAGTCCCTGCTCTCCCGCTTTCGTATTTGGTGACTACAATCAAGCTGGTCTACAGTGGCGCTTTACAGACAGTGGCACACCATTAATTGATCCACTGCTTTCGCATATGCCGGTTGCTTGCTGTGCTCTTTTGGACGGTTTTAACTTTTACGGGTTCACACAAGTGAATACTTTTCCGAACCGAAATGGACGTTTGCTAGATCTTGTCCTGGCAAATGATTCCGCACTACCAGGCACTTCTGTTTCCTTGCCCGTCGAGCCACTGATTGATCTAGATGCCGATCATCCCGCTCTCGTCGTGTCATTTAGTTTACCTGCGCCGATTCTTTTTACGCCGTCATCTGAGTGCTACTCTTTGGACTTTCGCCGGGCCGATTATGTTGCATTGAACAATGCGCTTGCGGAAATTGATTGGCAATTTATCGAAACTGCCGCTAGCGTGAATGATGCAGTGGATTTTTTCAGTGCTGCACTGGAAGATGCTATTTTCCGCATCGTCCCAGCTCGACGACCACCGCTAAAGCCTGCATGGTCTAACCCACGCCTACGCGTGCTAAAACGTCAACGCTCTGCCGCCCTCCGAAAGTATTGTAACTCTCGCTCGCCGTACTACAAACGACTGTTCAATTTTGCGAGTCGTAGTTATCGAAATTACAATCGTTTTCTCTATAATCGACACGTGAGACGCACGGAAGCGAACCTTCGCACGAATCCGAAAAGTTTTTGGTCGTTTGTCAACTTAAAACGGAAGGAATCCGGGTTGCCTTGTTCCATGTTTCTCGGGAATGACTCGGCTAATAGTGAAAGAGAAAAATGCGACTTGTTTGCTCGTCATTTCAAGCAAGTGTTCAACGATTTCTCCGCTTCGCCAACACAAGTGCTGGATGCTGCTGTTGGGATGCCACATGATGTGTTTAGTTTCGTTATTCCGCGCATTTCAGAAGACATGGTGATAGCCGCAACACGCAGACTGAAGCTATCGTTCGCCTCCGCACCTGATGGCATTCCGTCATCAGTTCTAAAACGTTGTGTAGCCAATCTCTGCCTTCCACTTGCGAGGCTATTCAATCTCTCGGCACAGCAATGTGAGTTCCCCTGCCGCTGGAAACTTTCTTATCTGTTCCCAGTGCACAAAAAAGGCGATAAACGGAATGTCATAAATTATCGTGGAATCACCTCCCTGTGTGCCTGCTCAAAACTGTTCGAGATTATCATAAATGGTGCTCTGTTCGCACGCTGCAAAAATTATATCGATACAGAACAACACGGTTTCTACCCGAAGCACTCCGTGTCCACGAACCTGGTGCAGTTCACTTCTAACTGTCTGCGATGCATGGATTTAGGATGGCAAGTCGATACTGCGTATATGGATCTAAAAGCTGCATTTGACACGGTGGACCATAATATCCTGCTGGCCAAGCTGGAGATACTTGGCATCTCGTCAACTGCTGTGGATTGGTTCAGATCTTACTTGGTGAACCGCTATGTACATGTCAAGATTGCCGCGTCGGAATCGGATGTTTTCTCAAACAACTCGGGAGTCCCGCAAGGCAGTAACCTAGGACCGCTACTATTTTCGATCTTTTTAAACGATGTCGCCTTGCTGATACCATTTGGATGCCACGTTTTCTATGCAGACGATACGAAAATCTACAAAATTATTAAAAGCCTCTCGGACTGCTGGGATCTCCAGAATATGTTAGGTATTTTTGCTGACTGGTGCTCAAGAAATTTGATGAGTCTAAGCATAGAAAAATGTAACATTATTTCATATCACCGAAAAATTGAACCAATCATGTTTGACTATGTTCTCTACGGACGCTGTCTTGCTCGTGTAGAGCACATAAAGGATCTCGGCGTTACCTTGGACTGCAGACTCACTTTCAGAATCCACTACAATGACATCATCTCCAGAGCTAATCGACAATTGGGCTTTATTTTCAAAATTGCCGACGAGTTTCGTGACCCGCTATGTCTCAGGTCACTTTACTGCTCGCTTGTGCGATCCTTATTGGAGTCAAGTTCAGTTGTTTGGTGCCCTTTCCATGCTAGCTGGATCACTAGAATTGAATCCGTTCAACGCAAGTTTGTGAGATATGCTCTTCGTTTCCTCAACTGGCTTGACCCAACGAACTTGCCACCGTACGAGGAGCGTTGCCGTCTCCTGGGAATCGAGCCATTAGAGGTGAGACGGACTAACAGGTGACATTGACTGCCCAACACTGCTGTCACAGCTAAATATGTATGCCCCTGAGAGGTCTCTTCGTCAACGCGACTTTCTGTTTTTGGAACCACGGAGCCGGAATTATACACAACATGAGCCAATTCGAGCAATCAGCCGGCAATTCAACAACTTTTTTTATATGTTCGACTTCAATGTATCAGCTGACGTGTTTCGTCATCGGCTACTTGGCCTTTTCCGTACCGTTGACCGTAACTATTTAGTTTAAGTTTTATTCATTTAGACAGTATTTGTCAGTTGAATTTTTCAATAAACAATAAACAAGTCCATGGCATGTGGACCTCTTACGGAAACCACACCGTTATCTGCAAGTTGTCTTAGTGTGCATTGTTCTACCAAACAGTTGCCGAAACCTTTGACATAAAAGTTATAAAGTAGGCATACAAAATATTTTGCATGTAATTTTTTGGTATAATTCTTTGGTATTTTACCTCTTATAACAGGCTGATCAACACCACATTTTGGTATCAGGAAGGGATTTGGTTCAAGTGAGATAAAAACTCATGCTGTGTTTTAAAGAGGTTTTTATTTTACTTCTTTTCTTTAAAAGATAAACAAATAAAAAACGAAAATAGTAATTATAATTAGATAAAGGAGTTTCCATTGTTGTTTTGATTAAATGTAGAATAGTTGTTTTTGCTGCTGGTTTCATCTCATTTCGGCTTTCTATAACCTTCTCTCCTCCGTCTATCGCTTCAATGCTTTTTTTTAGTTTTATTCTTAACCCTCTTTTCTCTACAATTACAATTTTATTGTTTGTGTGTTCGTGTTTTAGCCTTTCTAGCATGAAACGGGGAACAAGGATAATATCTTGTCTCAATGCACTGCGCTGTAATGCTGTTGCGTGTATCTTTATGTTTGTTTTAATTTCTTCTCCAACTGTGTAAATTGTGTAAATTTTTAGCATATTTAGCCCTAGTTAAATTCATTCTCGCTTCAATTTCCCGCAAACACACACACACACATATACGTACACACACAATCACAATTATTCCATTCGCTCCGCTTCCAGGCGAAAAAAGGCGACGCTTGAAGCTGCTACAACTGCTGATCAATCCTGGTGAAGCACCGCCCCCATAAAACCGCGCAAAACTCTCACATTCATCTGCAATCTCTCTTTACACACGTACATCCAAGCTTCTTACATTTGCACGCAATTTCGAAAAACTCGAGAAGCACTTCGTTTAATACACAATCTGGATCTGACTTCCTATTTGCTGCAATCGTTTCACTTCCGGCGAACTTTATCGTCAAATGTTTCCTCTATCTTTCTCTTCTTCATAACGATGCTATCTGCGTACGCGTTTGAATAGTGTTCGTACACTTGTTCTTGAAACATTGTTTTTTTTTTTTCATTTCCAATACAAAAAGCTAAAAAACCTCATAATAATAAGCATTTTTCTTCATGATGAAACAAATCAAAAGTAACAAATAATTTTTTAGTAGATGTTTTGCTTGTCTCTCGGGAGTTTGTCTATCTCTAGGGCGTCGGGTCTTTACGGGAGAGCATCCCGCTTGTCATGCTTGTCTTCTGACGGGAGTTTCCATTTTTCGCTCACGATCGTCCGCCTCCGTCGGCTATCACACTTCCGAGAAGTCTTCCCCGATCACCTCGGCCAATTTCTTCGTCGTCACTTGGATTCCTTAATTTCTGCTTGTTTGTTGCCTTGGATTTGTTCCTCTATACAATAACGTGTTATCATTAAGATTATTGTTCCTGATGCGTATGATGTTCATTTCTTGTTTTTTTTTTATCATCGTTTCTTTTGTTTAGTTTGCTGTGTGTGAGTGTATTTTTTCTTATGTTTCCCTTATTGTATATAAGTTCAGTCCTCCGCTTCCGCGATTTTTTGTTTTAATATTTTCAATTAGTTCCTCTTTTACAAATGATTGTTATCATAAGCATTTTCTAGGTTTTATTAGGTTTTTGTCTTGATCTTCTTATTCTTTTGTTTCACTTTTGCTTCCACTAGAGTTCATCTTTGAACGCGACAAGGAACGAAAATTGATTCACATCTCGGAGACGTAGGTTGAATTTCCCGGCAAAAAAATCCATGATCTTTTACATTTGCTTTCAAAGCAATACCGAAGAGGTACCTTATTAGAACGATTCGGTTTTTTTTTTTCATTTCCATTAGAAACTAACATAACAATAGACCAATGCGTTTGCAGTTGCACACACCCGCACACGGATTCCCATTATCTGCCACATCGAGAAGATGGATGGTTTAGAAATTGTCAGCTTTGACTGGCTGGCTGGATGCCTTTTTGTTGCAGTTTGTTAGTTTAGTTGTGTAGAAGTGGTATTCGTTTGTTGTTGTTGCTGTCTGTCTGAGGGGACCAGATTCTTACGGCAGAGGACGAGATAGCGTTGTTGTTTGTTGTCGTTACTGTATGTTCTTTTTTTTTTTACTGCTTTAAAAACCTATTTACTCAATAACCTTTAGAACTTTACCGATGGCGATGGTTTTGTCTGGTGAGGGAGGAAAATTCAAAATGTGTGTTAATTCCTAGTCGTAATAAAGTGAATCGAGGGATATAGTGGTTTGTACTTACTTTCATCTCGCAACGTAAAGCGTCCCATCTGCGGGAAGAGTTTAAACTGCTCGAGACAGATAAGCCCGGAGCATTCAATTCTCATGATGGCCACCTGGTCCTGCTTGACGAAACGAGGTCGGGTTTTTGATTTATCGCCCGACTTCTTATCCACTAAGCAAATGAGAGCCTGCGGAAATAAAGAGAAAGATAATCCCTTGGTTAGAGTTATCGCTTGCGTTTAAGAATTTACTAGACGTGTCAGAAAAAGGCATTGTAATGTTGGTAAACAATCTCACACTGAGTGCCAGTTTTATAGGTACTCAATAACGTCAGGGTATCTACCATGTTTTTTTTTTCTATTGCACGCTCTTATGATGAACGCCACGCTAAAGATGAAATCGCTTTAACATGGAGCTGGGATTGTGCTGAAACTAGACTGGAGATTTTTTAGGAATGTGATCATGCTAGCGTTCAAAGTTGACTTGACATTGACCAACATACTGGACGTTTACTGCCCATAATCGCATATCAGTCCCATTGTTGCTTGATTTCCTATCCATATGGGACTGTTATGCGATCATAGGTACTTTATCCCGCAGTTCAAGAAAATTGAACGCCGAATTGAATAATCTAAACGGACCAGAAGAGAGTTGAGAAGACAGATCTTCACTGCCCATATGATTTTTTGTCAGAAATGAGTTATCCATTAGAATAGATTGTAAACTACCGGCATTTCACAAATACCAAAACTAGCTGTTTTCCAGATGATATGCTTTTATCAGCAGTTGGCCATTTCCATAAACAAACCCAGAAGCGGCTAAAAAACCGTCGTCCATGAGTGTTTCTCCTTTTATTATTAAAATGTGCAAACAAGTGGTTTTCCATCCAGGAATGTTCCCGCTGAATATCAACCAGAACTTGCCCTTCCTACTCAAGGAACTGAATCTAGCGGTCCAAAGCCAAATGGAAATCAGCCGATCTGGAAGATGTTAGATATTCCATGCTGAGAAACCTACCACAGGAATGCAAGGCCACACTCCTTGGCCTTTTCAGCAGATTGGGGAACTCCTTCCCAGGCGACTGGAGACATAATTTAGCTTGGTTGTCCCGGTCCCGAAGCAGGGTCCGTCTGGACGTGAAACCAAAGACTACTGGCGATGGTCTCGTCCGGAGACTCGTGTTCTACTTGGGAATCAACGGCCACCTTGAACATCGCCAACACGTCTTCCCCATCTCGGATACGGATCTGATATCATATTAATTCATATACATGTAAAATTCGCCATACGTCATATCACCGGGCCTGGACACCCGGAAAAATTGCTTAATATGTGTATTGGGATCTATCTGGCCATATCATTACACTTTATGAAGAACTTCTTACGACATTGCTTCTTCAGGGCTGTTACAAGATTTTCTAAAATCGATCCGCGAAATCCGCGATTCCTCAAAATATATCCGCGACTTCAAATACTAATCCGCGACAAAAAAAAACTGTTTTCATTGCCTAAAAATACAATTTGTATAATACTACATGGTATTTCAAGCTTATTGCTAATAGCATATTAGATTTTTGCCTTATCTCAACTTAGTGTTCTAGTACTTAGTACTTCAACTTTCACATTGAGAGCTTTCTATGCCTGTACCATCCTATCCTCAATTTTCCAGCCCCAAAAATTAATAGACCGGACGGGAATCGAACTCAGTCGCCTCCAGCATGGACTTGCTTTGTAGCTGCGTCTTAACCGACTAAGCTAAAGGAGTATCGTTTGTAAACTTTAAAAAAATATTTATGTATAGTATAAATTCTGAGTAATTATGTAACACCCTTACATTATAAGATTCTATTGAATAATACCGGCCTAGATTTGATGAAACATTATTTAAAAAATTTATGTATTTTCATTTGAAATGCAAATTTTCTTGAAAGTTGACCTTTGCGTCTCTGACGTATTTTGGTGTCTTAAATGTTGTAGTTAATTTGGCTCTAGTTTTCTCAATTTTTGACCGATTCAAACCAAACACCCTGCACATAATCGAGAAATTGCCAGAGTTTCATAAGTCACTCTTATTGGTCACGTCGTGGTTCTGTATCTACACGGATATTCCTTGGGGTCTGCCGAATCGTATTCATGTGACTGTGTGGATCATGAACGACTTATTACTATGTATACCGGAAATTATAGGTTTTCCAAATCGTCCAGGACATCAGTTGATTTGTTCTACTAAATCAACCAAGACTACAATAATGTCTGTAGTATCAAAAAATGTCCAATCAGATTCAAAGTGTCTATGTGGATCATGCATGATCTATTTCCGAGTAATCCAGATGTTGTAGGTTCTTCAAATCGTCCTGGAGTTCAGATAATTTGATCTACTAGATCAACCGAGATTAGGACAATGTCTTTAGTATCGAAATATTTCCAGACAAATGCACAGTGTCTATGTGGATCATGCATGAACTATTGTCATGTATACCAGATGTTTTAAGTTCTCCAAATTGTTCTGGAGTTCAGATGATTTATTCCACTAGATCAACCATGACTGGGATATAAAGTCTGTAGTATCGAAATATGTCCAAACAGATTCATAGTGTCTATATGGAAAATGTTTAATTATGTCCACGTATACCAGATGCTCTAGGTTCTCCAAATCGTCCTGCAGTTCAGATGACTTGTTTTACTAGATCAACAAAGACTAGGATAATATCTGTAGTACCAAAATATCGATTTGGAAATCCTAGAACATTTGGCATACACGGAAATAGGTTGGCATGATTCACATAGACACTGCAAATTTGTTTGGGCATATTTCGATACTACAGATATTGAATTAGTCTTGGGTGATCAAGTAGAAAAATAATCTGATCTCCAGAATGATTTCAGAACCTATAACATCTTGTATACGTAGCAATAGGTCGGGTACAATCCACATAGATACTTTGAATCTGTTTGGACATATTTCGATACTACAGACATTATTGCAGTCTTGGTTGATATAGTAGAACAAATCAACTGAACTCCAGGACGGTTTGGAGAACCTAGAATATCCGGTATACATGGCAATTACTCGCATATATACGATTAGTTTATGATTTGACAACGAAAAATGCTATGTTCACATTGGAAATAAAAAAAACATGATAATGTCTCACATTGGACAGACCTCAGGGAATTTCCGTGTAAATCCGGTGTGACTTATGGAATTAAGATCATTTCTAGATTATTTGCAGGGTGTTTAGTTTGAACCGGTAAAAAATTGAAAGCCAAATGAACAACAAAATTGATGACAGCTAAATAATACGGGACGGAAAGGTTACAATGAATTCCACAATTTGTGTGACAGTACATCATTCAATTCGTTATTTTCGCGACATCATTTAATGTTTCCGCGATTTTCGCGACTGAAACTTCAAATCCGCGAAAATCGCGAAATCCGCGAAATTCGCGATATCCGCGCCTGTTGTAACAGCCCTGCTTCTTTTAAGTTAGCCTAGGAAAGTCTCGGTTGGTGTGGTTCTCCAAAGAAAAAAAAATCCTGATGCGGATGAACGCGGTATTCTGCTTTCCATCTTCGTTTGTTGTTAAGTATCCTGGGCACCGTCAGTAGTGGTGCAAAGGGCCAACGTGAAAGACTTCCATCCTGGGCGGCTGTTTGGTTTTGCTTTATCCAATACCCAGGTCAAATTCATATCGACTTGCTTGATTTCCTTGCTAAGGCTCCGCCGCCATGAACCCCTGGGTCTGCCTCTGCTGCAATGACCTGCCGGGTTCCAATTCAGCGCTAGCTTTCAGATTTGTTTTCCATTCCTTCGTACCCGGGACAAACTGACTTGATGTTGTTTTGACATTTTTCATTATCAAAACCCGTAGTTTTATCACGTAATATGAAAGTAGATGTTAATTGATAGTGGATAGCGTTATCTTGAAAGTGACGAAAATTCATATCGGACAGTGTAGTACTTGATGAAAGGAGTTCAACGATCTACAATCATGTCCAAATCAGGATTGATCTATTGCAAACTCTTGCCAGGATGTTGCTTGTGAGTAACCGAGCAGTCCGGACCGGATGCGAATAGCTAAACCTGCATTGGAATCAAGACTGTCCTCCGGTATCGAGATGGTCACCAAGCTATCCCGAGTATATCATCAGATCATCAGGGTGACATCCGATCTGATTGCCTGTCAGGGATGGAGGGATAGAGGCTTCCGTTCGACAAATACATTGTAGGAGAAAGACACGGGGTGTCCCTCTTCATGGATGCAGCTCTGGAAGAGCTCTGTTTGGCCAGGGTTCACTAGTGCGGAGCCACGGGGTTGGACTCGCCATGACTTACAATCGACTTGATGATCAATAAATAGCTTCCGGGCGCGAACCAACTCCCTCATACTTGGGCTGAGATCGATCACCGAGCTATAGATAACCGGAAGTCAGCGGTAAGGTGAGCATTATAGTGATGCAAAATTTGAAATTTTCGCTCCACAATACTTAAACGATTCCAAATCGGATCCTGACTAACCTTTCAAAATTTGAACCTATTTGGTGAGAAACTGAGATGGCACAAACCATTTGAAGTTTGTATGGGAATTACTATGGTAAAACCAAGATTTTTGTTCATGTCTATCTAATAATTCACCATATCGGTCTGCTTCAAAAAATTTTAACTGTACTTGTAGGAAATTTTCCCAGCTACAAGTTTGCTGATGACCACTTTTCGATTAAATGCAAGGATCGAAAGTTATCAATGGTTCAATGCGCTGATGTCTTATGATCATGCTCAATCAACTGCTCAGCAGGCAACATTGGTGTTTCTGGGGCGTTGGATAGAACACACAAATCATGGCTACTATGTCACACTGCAAAATACAGTGTTGCCTTTAGAGCAGCTGCTTGATCATGTCATAAGTTTACCAATCTCCTAAATAATTAATAACTTTCTCCTGTCTCGTTTAACATAGAAACAATCTTCAGCAAAGTTATAGTTGAGAAAATTTTCTATAAGAATGGCTATCGAACTGTTTCGCAGCTCAATATGGAAAAAGAGTAGAAGGCAATGAACAAAAAGTTGAAATTTCCCATAGTAATTTACATGTAAACTTCAAATGGCTTGTGCGAAGTCTGTTTCTAAAATGAATTGTAACTTTGAGAGGCTAATCAGGACCCGATTTGAAACCATTTAAGCACTGTGGAGCGAAAAAGTCAAAATTAACATCAGTCTAGTGAGCATCGGAGTCTCGGACTGTTAATTAATTCAGTATTCTCTACCGACTCCTCCCATAACCCTGCAATCGCTCTGGGAGGTTTTGCGGAAGTCGCATCGCCGCTGTATTCACCGACTAAGCCAACGTTTTAACCGCTCTCAGGATTCAAAAACTTGCTCCCAAAGAAGACGCATCTTTTGTCTGTACATATTCCATAACAACAAGGAAGCTCGCGGCCTCGGGTAAGTAATCCAGCATCTACACTCAGGTGTTCCTAACCCAGGATCTAAAAGTCTGAATCTTGGCCACAATATGGAACAGCTATTTGGATCACGGAATGGATGCAATCAAGGAGCTTCAAAGATGGGAAACCCACCGGAGCACTGATCACAGATCATCGGAAGCGTAGGCCCGTTCAGAAAGCTGGATGCCGTCTGCGGCATTTCACACACGACAGAGCACTTTGATTTTAACTGACCCAATGTAACGGGGCACGTTCCCTCTACGGGATCTCGAGAGGTATCATGTTACTGTGTATTGTTCTCAAAGTTCTGTGCAAAGTTATCCTGGATCAGATACAGGAGAACATCGACGAGAGACGAGACTCTCAGACGGCAGCTGGCAGGGTTCCAGATTGGACGATCTTCTGTGGGCTATATTTTGTCACGCTCCGTATCATCTTGAAGAACGTCAACAAATTCTAAAAATCCCTGTATTTGCTTTCAAGCGACACAATCACGAGAAACTGTGGAGCGCCATGAGGCATAAACGAGTCTCGGATAAAATCGTCAACACCTTCGAAGTTCACTAGCAGAGTCCTGCATAGTGGAGACCCTACGCTGGTCGTCGCTGGAGTGATACAAGGTGTATACTATTCCGAGAACGTGTTAGGTGCAATTGACCGTGTACCGAGCCGTGGGCCATTTGGGGTCCCAAAATATGGAGACAATTGGTTGTAACCCGACTTTCCGCATTGCATTTGTAATTAGTATGGGAAAACCTTTTTGGTATTTTCATCCCTAGAGACCACAATTTTGCTTGAACCATGCAACCAGAGCATACAATTGTTGACTGCTTAGGCTGAGTGTGAAAGCACTACTCTATTGAATTCATTGCTCTATCCAGACCGTATGTACCAAACGGTAAAGGATGAGGCAATGAAAGAGCCAACAAAAACATTCAGTCACTCACGAACAAGCGACTTACACCGCTTGCCTTCGCTCACACAGCATGTAATTGAGGCACTTTTCCATAGAAAATGTACGCTCAGTCATTCAACACACTGACTGAGTGCTCTACTGTCAGTAACTCGTTTACATTCCAATCATTCAGACTCTCACGAGGCAGTGAATGATGAGCCGAATGGCTGTTCATATTCATATGAAAATAACTCATCGAACCAAAATGATTTGCGCACTGCATGCATCTAACCATGTACCTACAAATATAGTCCATGAAGAGCTTAACAAACTTGTCCAAGGAAGTACGGTGCTAATGTCCCCAAAAAAGTTATAACTGTTCAAATATGTATGGTTTGAATTAAATGACAAGACAAGTTTTTCTGCGATCACTGCCGATGTACCAATGGAAGTCCGATTCTAAACTGAAATAATTTCGGAGTTTCTTATCTTATCGATTTGGTATATATGGTATGGTACACTCAAAAAATTTATCACATGTCACATCACAAAATTCATATCATGGATGAAAACCATGTGAATTTCACATAGCTTTCATGTGATCACATAGCTAAAAATCCCGCTACAAAATCACATGAATATTATGCGGCCAATGCAATTCATATGAAAAATCATATAAAATTAATGTGATCGCATAAATGTTATGTGAAATTCAGATGAATTCCATTAATTTTGTTTATGGATGAAAATCATTTGCGTTTCCAATGGAAGCTACACGAAAACTATTTTCGGTGTATGTTGTTGGAATCTAAACTTCATTGGTTAATTCGAAACATCGACCTATGAAACAGCAATAACTTTTATTAGAGACATTCTAGCACCGTACATTTTTCGGCAAAGTTGTTAGGCACTTCCTGAACTATACTTTTACATATAGTCACTACATTTATAAACTGACGGAAAATATTCATTAGAATTTCATGAATTTCATGTGATATCATAATTGGGAATTGCACCACAAAATCACATGAACCTTATGTGTTAAATGAAATTTAAGTGATTTATCATATAGAACTCATGTGATCACATGAATGTTATGTGAAATTGAGATAAATATCATTGGTTTGGTTAATGGAAAAATATTATGTGCATTCCCAATGGAAACTACATGAAAACTTTTTTTCCGTGTAGAATAACGATCTAACAAAAATCGGAACCAATTGAATATTTTGTAGACCAAAAATTGAAAAGGTACTATTTATAACTATAACTATGTATAATCAAAACGTTGTTCTTTCCTCACCAACCGTAAGCAAATTAACTGCATAATCGGATAGGGAAAACTTTCCCCAACCCGGTGATGATGTTGGTTTGCGTAGGTGAGCCTTGAGTCACGAGAAAAGTGTTTCCGAAATTTTGTTCCCAAAAGCTGATGTGCTCTTTTCTGATGTTGGTCGTGATATGCGCGATGGGTTCTGCTATTTGACAGCACAACTGGTTCCCAAGATTCTATCCGTCAGACTTTAAATATAGCGACTATACTTTTACATGGTTAGTTGCATGGTTCAAGCAAAATTGTGATCCCTAAAAATGAAAATGCAAACAGTAAAAGAGAAGAAATAGCAGGTTTTCCCATATTAATTTCCATACACATTTCAAACGCAATGCAAAAAACCAGGTTACAATCACTAGTCGCCAAATTTTCCAGGTGTTTGGGAACCCTAAAAACATTGTTCTGAAAAAATGATCACGAAATGATGAGTTTCCGGCGATACTGTAGATACAGTCGAGATGGAAACAAAAACAATTTTACAATGGACTGGAGAAGTGTTTCCATTACTGTTAACAAATTTTAATTATAGAATGATGGAATGACCGAATTTTTCATCAGATCAACCAAAATTTGAGATCAGTTTACTCATAAATCGCAAAAAGTGCAGGAACTCAGCGATGAGTAATTTGCCTCAGATTTTCCTGTGGAAAACTTCAAAAATCTGCCGAAAAAAGAGGAAAATTTTACTCAGTCTAGGAGTAGACTAAGAGAATCCAATCTTTAATTTTCTCATATTAGGGATTTTTTCCTGAAAAAAAACCTGGAAAAACATGAGGCAAATTTACTCATCGTTGAGCTTTTGTACATTTTGCGATTTGGGTTGATGTCATTGGCCATGTAAGGACGTAGTGTGAAAAGCGGCGCACAATGCTTCCGGATTTGATCCGTTGCTGTAAATCTGACAGTATTCAGAAGATGAAGATGCACCTGATCCGCTGATGACGAGGAGGTCGGGACATTAATGCGAATATTTCGTTTTTCATTTCCTCGCTGAACACATCGTTGACACACCTCCACCAACGTTTGAATAGTAAATCTTTATGGTTCAGAGTAAGCCTTGTTTTCTGCGTTCGGCTTTTTGTAGAAACTGCCGCGAAAAGTGAAATGACACATTCTACGTGACGTTATAACGGTTTATGTCTGTTTTTTTTACAGTTTGAACTGTAACTGAAAAATTTAAAAATAACCCCTAAATATGACTGCAGAATTAGAAAGAGCATTAAATTTCCTCAATCAACCACCTACCTTAACAGTAATTTCCTCCGCCGCACAGTGTATGTGCATCACCGCCGAGTAACCCGCACAGATAATTGATTTGTGTTCTAGGATAACTACTTGCGCATCGAAAATTTTACCGGTTTTGATCGGATTGGAGGCATCGCACAGCACAAAACCGGGCGAAACATCTTCTTCTTCTATGCCCTGCAATCACCAAACAAACGAGAAAAAAAAAAGCATTTTACTATCATGTCTAATTTATATGACTGTTAATAGCGGCAATTGGGGTACGTACTTTCACTTTGATTTTCACATTTTCACCAGGCCCCACGGCAGTCACTTCCTCATCGTCCGACCACAGCTGATCGACGGATACTTGTGTCTGCAATTATTCAAAACAGAGTTAGAGTTAAGGCTTCATAGAAAAAAACATCTAAACAAATCAAACTTACTCTGTTGGGCATCACGAGCAGGTTGATTCCCTTTCTGGCCGTTCCCGATTCCACCTTGCCCATCAGAACCGTGCCCATGTCCTTGTACTTATCCACGATCGGCATGATGAACGGACCGTCGGTCTTGCGGTTTAGCGAAGGCAGCTCGTCGATGAATGGAATGAAGGCTGGCCCTCGGTACCACGGGCAAATGGATTCGTCTATCTGTTCCTTGATTCCCATACCGGTGATGCCAGAGCACGGCATGAACGTTAGATCCTTTGTCGGGTTGAATCTGAAATAGTTTTGGTTTTCCAGTCAGTTCTATAAGATCTAGGCGGCAAATCGAACCCCAGGGGCTTACCCTAGCTTTTTGAGGTAAGGTAAGATTTTGTCTTTGCATTCGTTGTACCGCTCAACGTCCCAGTTCACCGTCGGATCGTCCATCTTGTTCACCAGCACCACCAGGTGCTTGACGCCGGCCGTTTTTGCTAACATCGCATGCTCTCGCGTCTGCCCTCCCCTATCGAAGCCGGTTTCGAACTCGCCCTTACGAGCCGAAATGACCAGCACGGCCAGATCGGCCTGCGCCGCACCACCGATCATGTTCGGTACGAAACTCTTGTGCCCGGGAGCATCCAGGATGGTGAAATGTTTCTTCTCAGTCTCAAAATAGGCACGACCCACCTCCACCGTTTTACCTTTGTCACGTTCTGAAAGATAACGAAGATCGTTAGAACAATTGTTTACCAAATACAAGAGAATGCAACTCGAACCTTCCTGATTTGTGTCCAGCGCCCACGACAAGTACCAACTTTCTCGGGATTTTTCACGTGCCTCTCGTTCGTACTTTTCCAGCGTTCGTTTGTCGACCATTCCGGTCAGGGACATAATTTGGCCACCAATGGTGGATTTGCCGGCATCTGCAAATTAATATTCCTTGAATATATATTGAACAACTTTGCTGATCAGACCCTACTTACCGACGTGTCCGATGAAAACTACATTGACGTGCTCCTTCTTGCTCTTGCTTTCCTCGACCTTTACGATCTTCTTTTTGGCCATCTTTGCCATATTCTCTCCATCCATCTCACCGTCATCCAATTCCATTTCCTCATCTTCGGGCGTAAGAATCGAGTCTTCCTCGGCGTCCCAACTGTCCAATGGTTCACTTTCTGCAATTAGAAGAAAATTGCCATACATTAATAATTGTGTTACTCCGAGTCCTGATTGTAAATTATAGAGAACATCCCTTCCGCGTTATCGACGAGCGGAAATAAGGTCATCCGGCGCCCGCCACACGTATGTTTGGGAACAAAACAAGTCCACACAACCGCCCAAGCTAGAATCAATGTTACGTAAATCGAACACTTTGCCAAACGGCCGCCAACCGACCCACTTTAATAGGCATTAAAATTGCATCACCCAATTGTGGTTCGCATCGGGACCAACTCCCACGAGGAGTGAGGAAGACGTCATAAACAGCAATAACTAACTGCTCGACTCAAACCGTTTCTGGAAGTAGACAAGACAAATTGTGCATATCTTCATCACTGTCACAGCAGTTCCCCCGGTAAGTCCATAAAACTACAACCAGCGGAGCTTTGGCGGAAAACATCGGGAATCGACGATGACATTATTCTCCGCCTATTCACACGTACATTTAGCGTATAACTTCTTTGCACGTTTTGTTGACGACGAATAAGGTATCCATTTGATGCACCATTAGAAACATAGTTCCATCCATACCGCGCCACGCTGTCGCTGACTGCTTGTTCCGTCCTTGTGAGCCAGCAGCGAGTTCTACCTTGGCCCCTGCAGAGTGAAAGGTGGCATCCGAACTGACTAGCAAACGGAATAACAATTATTAATAAAAAGTTTTGTCCGCTCGGTCACCAGCTTTCACTCGCCTGGGGCCTTAGCATTTAGTGGTGGTTCTTTGAGGCCCCCACGAGGAACAAGGGGAATCGATTTTTTAACAATTAGCAGCGCAGCTGAAGCAACAAAACAGGTGGAAGGTATGCGGCTCCTTTCTCAGCGGAATGTTTGGGGTTTGATTTCGAATTACCCATTCTAGTACCAGACTGCAATGGCTTTTTTTTTCGCGGTGTCGTAGTAGCTCTTGGTTTGATAAGTAGGTAGGTACCGTAAAAAGGGGTGAAGTTGATCAGTAAACCGTTCAATTTTCGTTTCTCAACAATCATGTTTTATTATATTATTATGAGATAATTTGTTTGGTGTTTCATAAACCAGTTTAAAATATTTAAATTCAAACTTACAAAGTTTCCCCTAACAAACAACATAGTGGAAGTGCTGAAATAGGCAACTTTTACCTGTTCCTTAAAATCCGATAATTCAGCATTTATTCTGATGCGGTTTTCGGTCAAATAACTTATTACACTTAATTTTGGGTAGCTGCATCTGAATCAGAAATCAGATTTTATTGATATGAACGATTTAGTATAATAAAAAAATGTTGTGTGAAACTACATTTAGGCGACAAAATATGCAGTTTTTTTTCCGCAAACCTCAACTTTTGTAGAAATTTTAAAACCAGTTTCTTCTTCAGCGAACATAAATAAAGTCTAGACCAACAATTGAAAATGGCCGATAGCTTCCTCTATCCGATGATGATGCTGTTGGTTGGCGTGGACGGCTTACACAAAATTTTTTGCCGAGATTGGCACCGTCGACTAGCTCGGCATTTTACTTGGCTTGATCTCCGATGAAAACATGCCGAGATTCAGCTAGCAAACATACATTTTGCTGAGATCTCAGTAATCGGCAGTGCCGGTTTTTACCGAGCTAGATTGAGTATGTACGCTTTGCGAGGAAAGGGTCTACAAAATTTTGTTTACCAAAGCTAATAGCCGGTTTTGAATTGTTGGTCGAGAAGTATCAATGATAACTTCTGAATATTGCATTGCATGATCAACTTTACCCCAGAATTGAAAATGTCCATTAGAAAAACATTTGCTAAATACAGGTTCGTGAGGTATGTGTTTGTATTCCAATGATATGGTTGAAAAAAAATTCAGGTTTATTGGTAAACCCGTTTTACGAAACCGTAATCTGAGGGCGAATTGATCCGTTGGTATCGGTAATTTATAAACTACCATTGTACCTAGTTAGCTTTCTTATCGCGCAACTTATTTTCATAGCCGGCGCCGGTGGTCTAGTGGTAAGCGTGACTGCTTTCTCACCCCAATGGGTCTGGGTTCAATCCCAGCCGATCTCTGGTCACGTCTTCCGTCGGAAGGGAAGTAAAGTCGTTGGTCCCGGCCGCCTACCTGCACATTCGATTGCCGTCAATGAATGGCAATCGATGTCCGTCGGTGATTGGTACTGGATTGCGGGGCGGAAGTGCCAAAATGCAAACAAACCATATTTTGCCACATATAGAGAGAACAGTTCACAAACTACTTGATAAACACGAAAAAGTAGAAGAAAATATAATTTCAAATCATGAAAAACGTTTCCTTTTACATGGCGTATTTCCAATTTTCAACTCTATGATGCATCTGGTTGTTACGCCTTGCACCAGAACTACGAATTTTGTTGCTTTAAAATGCCAAACGTACTGATTCTGTAGTATCTAGTCACGCCCGATTTATTTGAAATGCATCCGATTGATGTTTCATGTGTAAACAACGAACAAAACGAAAACCAAAAAATCTCAGGGCGTAAATCCACTCTCACAAAATTTGCGAACGAAGAACCAAGGCAGAACAACAACAAAAAAATCCGAGGGTGTATTTCCACGGCGTATCACCAGTGTTGACAGAATTATCAGGGCGTATGATGTTTTCTTCTCAATTTCGCGGCAAAAAACGGTTTTGAAGTTTTTAGTAATGCACGATGATAAGATTACACTATTTACTATATGTCAAGCTAAAATTCATGAAATTCGTGAAATAGCCATCAAAATTATTTCCATGAAATTGAAACCTCAAAATTGCCAATTGGAGATTTCAAATTCATTTGCTTACTTAATTCTAGCTTAATTCTGACAGGTTATGTAAAACAAATTCTTTAAGGTTCAATGTACTTTGATGGATTTTCGAATCCTTTTGCTTTATTATAGAGACTTTCAGCTTTTAGCTGATTCGTCTCTTGCTATTTAACACAAAATGACGCGAGCTTTTTGCAATCTGCAATTGCAGGAACTAAATCTAGGAACTTCAAAAAGAAATCACTTGAAGTGAAAAATCTATCAAATGAATTAAAAAAATTACGTTCTCTGAATCATGATACAATTTCCCGAAAGCCCTTGAATTTCAGCACATTTTTGACGTTTACAAAACGACAAAACGTTTCTAAAATTATATTTTATGAACACTTATTAAACTCCGAAAGCTTCTCAGGACATCCACGATCTTTCCTGCCTTTAGTTCTTCGTCTGTGGTTTTTTACGCTTTTGTAGCGAGCGTTTTGTCGGCTAATGTTCTAGAAGCACTTCTATAGTTATTACTTGAGAGCTTTCTATGCCAACCAATAATGTATGCATTTGTATCTTGTGTGGCAAGCACAATGAGGATGCCCAGGGAAGTCGAGAAAATTTCAAACCCGAAAGATTTCCATTCCAGCACGGATTTTGCATAGTGACAAGAGGCCAAATCAGGCCAACACAGAGCTTGAGTGTCGTGGCTTCTGATTAATGGTAGGAACCGCATTTACAAACATTCTTTCTCGTAAACATCGTTGTTGATAGCGCCGGTAGAGATGAAACTTTTGGATTTCCGGCCTGTCAATCCAAATATTTTTTGGGGAATTTCGAAAGCTTCTTTGTCCGGAAACACTCGGCAGCGGCATTCCTTCGCATTGCAGTATAAAAAGCCAAACCCGGAAGCTGTCTTCGAGCACGTATGTTTCAGAGTTGATAATAGAAGAGTTACGCAGACTGAAACCAAAATCTACCTATCGAATTCTCAAACCGTCTACCGATCGAGCATAGTAGACAAACTGACTCTGTTGCGTGGAAACTAGAGGAAACTTTCACAACGCAGGTGAACCCGTAAAAAAAAGAACGATAGAGGTACCATGAAATGTATTGTAACCATACAATAGAATTTATTGTACTTAAAATAAAGTGTATTGTCCACAACGATAAATTAACCTTGGAATTTATTGTTTCCACAATAGAATCTATTGTAAATGGGGAAATCTACAATAGAACAAGGGGGTTGTTATGTATCTTAACCGTACAAAAAATCTCTTTTTCACGAACAAACTTGAGCCATTTACCATTTATTTTATTGTTTTTCTATTGTTGAAAATTCATACTACATGGGACGTATTGTAGATCTATTGTAATAACAATATTTTAAATTTACTTGTATGATACATATGTATACAATACGATCGATTGTTGGCAATAGATTTTGTTGTTCCGGGAAGTCATCCGAGGTGTAAACAAATACAAAGGTTGCCAAAATAAAACAATGTCCATTGATCGACATCAGTGTTGCAAGCTTCACTCTGCGTTACTCTTCTATTATCAACTCTGATATGTTTCGTCGTCCATTATTATACAAGAATTTTTTGCACCTGTTCAATATAATAGCAGCGCATGCCGATTTCCATACAAAATGATCAACTTTGACAAGTTGGAACTTTGTTCTCTTAAGATCAATTGAGCTGAAACGTTCACCACAGAGCTACGAATATGTTCAATTTTACGATTACAAAATATCAAATTTTTGGAAGCAGCTACCGGAAAGTGAGACACTAGGTAAAATTGTTCAAAATAATAGCAGTACTAATAATTTGCATTTCAGCTCAATTTTGAGATTTTAAATTTTACATTTCGCAAAATTTCAACAATCCCCACCCATGTAACAAATGTACATAATAGTTAAAAATGTTTAAAAAATTTTGCAGTACATAAAAATTCAAATAAAAAACTGCTACTATTTTGAACAGTTTTACCAAGTATCTCACTTTCCAACAGGTGCTTCAAAAAATTTGAACATATTTGTAGTTCTGTGGCGAACGTTTCAGCTGAATTGATCATAAGTTAACAAAGTTACATCATGTCAAAGTTCACAATTTTGCATGGAAATCGGCATGCGCAGCTATTATATTGAACACAACTGTACATAGACGCGATATTTTGAGTGCAGCTATAATTATGAGAAGTGTTGGTGTTAGCTAGAAATATTAGTTAATCTAGCAA